ATCATAAGTGTCGTAATTTTGGATTCCCCTAATGATTCAGTGGCAAGTCTTAGGTCTCATACTGTTAAAACCGGTTTTTGATACCTGTGGTGGGCACACCGCAAGATTGTGCAGCTTTGTGTTTAACAACATAGAAACATGGTCAATTTAATTTCTGAATGGCTAAAAGCAATTAAGGGGTCAGAGAATAAATTATTTAATTGAAAAAAAAGCGAAATTTCTATAAACTTGTTAACGTCTTTGAAATAGAGTAGATTAGTCAAAAAAGTGTTTTGAAATATAAAACGTTGTAACTGCTTCTTCATGAAGATCTTATACAAACATAATTATGTTTTATTTCACTTTCATATTATGATTTCAGACATTATTTTTAGGTGAATTAAGATTGCTCTTTAGAGAAGAAAAACTGGTCTGATTAATCTAATTAGTCACATTGGCTTTGTATACACTGCACAGATTGAACCCCCGAATTTTAGCGTTATAAGTCCTCAAGCTTACCCACTGAGCCCCTGATAAACTATGTTCTCTTTGATGTTTAAGTGTAGTGTAGAGATATATACTGACTAGCTGGCTGATAAAAAATATACAGAATTAATGCAAGAAAATATAGAAACAACACCTATGATAAATAAGACATTCCAATACTCATGATGTTAGGAAAAAACAGAGAAAGGTGAACGAAAGCAGTACTAATTTTAGCTTTATTTAGTAGTCAGTAAATCAGAAGAGTGGAATCTAATCATAAAAGTAATTTATATTATTCAATTGATAAATTTGTGGCTGCTCTGTACCTGAACATGTCGTTCTTCAATTATTCGTTGTTACTTTCCTTACTGCAGAAACCCACAGTTTTTAAAACAGTTCGCTTGGTTCTGACTAACACTAATCAACTTGATGCTTTCAACAAAAATTTAAAGTTATGAAGAAATGTGAAATTGTTTTTTTGCTTTAGAAAAGCGCTAGTATCTATTTTATTTTTACAATTAATTTATTTTCACGATGATTTGCTATTTCATTGCTTGTATGACAAAAACTTAAATTAGCGAGTTGTCAGATGATTGTGTCCAGGAGTATCGGCAATTCTATACTGTAGATGAGTAAACACGACATTTGTGATTTCTTTTATTCATTTTTGGAGACCGAACTACTTTCGTCTTACAAAACTAATTTATGATAATTTAAACTGGAATGAATGTTTTATTTTTTCACAATCCAATAATACAACGCACTTGTAGCTAAGATTTTAATCACAAACCTTAACACGTGCGAGAAGCTATTTTTAAATTGTTTATAGTGTTGTTGGAGCTTTTAATTTATAGTTCTACACACTCAATGGTCCTATGGTTTATTCATATAAAATTGAGTTACCCTTAGAGCAGTAGGATAGGTCTGCTTAATAACAGGAGATAGTGATTACGAAGTAATGTTAAATTTCTAGTTAATTGAGTCGTAATATTAGATGAAATAACAAGATTGGACACAAAGTGAAATACCAAACGATCAATCTTCATTATAATAAACATAAAACACAATAAGTGTGTGTGTACTTGTTTTTATAGAATGGACGGTCGCTTTTTCTGGATTCTTTCTTTAAGCTGCTTGCCCTTCAAGATCTTGTTCCAGATTGACTAAATCCAGCATTCCTTAGTTCGAAAGAAACATCGCATTTACTCACAGCGAATAGCGCTGTCCCCGTGACTCGTAATTCTCATTCTAACTTGTGTAAGGCCTTTTCTTCTAGACATCACCTAAACTATGACTTCAGAAGGACACTGCTGTCAACATTCTTGCATAGCTTACAGTATTGCATTATGGTATTATTTATTCGAGAATAACAAAGAACAATGTAACGGACTAAACAAAACGCCACTAGAACCAGGGTCAAACAAAACACAATTTATTAAAATATAACATAATCCAAAATCAAAGTTCCAAAAAATTAGAATACAAGTTTTTAATCACTTACAACGAAAAACAATTAGTAAATCCGTGACTGGTCAGAACTAGGTAGAAATATTAATATTCTTGTTGTTGTTTAGCACAAAACTACACAAAAGGCTATCTGTGCTCTGCCCACCACTGGTATCGAAACCTGGTTTCTAGCAGTATGAATCCGCAGACATACAGTGTCTTGCAAAAGTCTTCACTCCCCCTGTGCTGGTAATAAATTTTAGATATTTCCTTGTGAACGACATAACTCAAATGGCCAAAAATATTTATTATATTAATCTCAGACCAGTTTCTAAAGATTGCAAAGAACAAAAGGTGCGTTGTTAGCCAATTTAGTGATATAACACAAAAAATCTTGAAAACACATGTTACAAAAGTCCTCATCCCCTAACGTGATTATGCAGTTAATATTTGGTTGAAGTTTCTTTGGCAGCAATGACAGCTAAAAGTCGTTTTGGATAACTCTCCATAAACTTTGCACAGTATGCTGGAGATATTTTTGCCCACTCCTGCTTGCAGATATCCTCCAGTTCTTGAACTGTAAAATTGGTTGTGAAGAAATCGAAAGTGTGTCACACTGCATCAACCTTTTTTCAAGATCGGGTCGTTCTAAGAAAGTCTGCACTCGAACAAGCAGAAAAATCGTCAGAGAAACGACTGTCAAGCCAACAATGACACTGAAGGAGCTGCATACTTCAACAGCAGCAACTGAAGTTACTGTACACACCTTGATAATATAACGTACCTGACACAAAATAGGCTTGTATGGGAGGGTGGCAAGAAAGAAACCATTACTGACGAAGATGCATCTTAGATCATGAATGGACTAAACCCGTTAACATTTCAACAACCCTACAACAATGTGGCAGAAAGTTGTGTGGTCGGATGAGACCAAAATAGAACTTTTTTGGGTTAAATGACAAATGGTATGTATGGCGGAAACCCAGTACTGCTCATGACCCGGCAAATACAATCCCAACTGTCAAGCATGGGGGTGGGTCCATAATGCTGTGGGAATGTTTTTCTTCAGTTGGCACTGGAGAACTTGTACGCACTCAAGGGATCATGGACAGTGCAAAATATATACAGGTGTTGGAGGTAAACCTGAAGAAGTCAGCTGAGAAACTAAAACTCGGTCGAAGGTTTACATTTCAACAGGACAATGATTCTAAACACAGATCAAAGGCAACCCAAGAATGGTTTTGGAGAAACAGAATTAAAGTCCTTGACAGGCCGAGCCAAAGCCCAAACCTAAATCCACTGACAAATCTGTGGAGAGACTTAAATTGCTGTGCATCGAATACATCCTTCCAACCTACAGAACTGGAGGATATCTGGAAGCAGGTGTGGGGAAAATTATCTCCAGCATACTGTGCAAAGCTTGTGGAGGGTTATCCAAAACGACTTTTTTGTATAGAGTTGACTGCGCAATTGCAAAAGTGTCTACCCCTTGATGATTCAACCCTGTCTGTTCTCTGCTGCGTTCATGATCATACAGAACTGTCAAAGTGATCAGATGTCTATTGCAGAATTTTCTTCCAAGTTTCCCACGATAATTGCAATGGAAGAACAGCAACAGCTTGACAATGACTGGCGTTCATTGTCACTAAGTGATGATGTTGATAAGTTTATTTTTCAAAATATCAGCATTGAGTCATTTTGGTATCAAGTTCATGTGAGTGGAAAGTATCCCATCCTCTCAAGGAAAGCTGTGGCTATGGAGAAGGGAAGAATGATGATACCAGAGTTTCGTGCTATGTGGTTCATGTAGGAGCCAAAATATATTCCTCGACCTAAGTGGAGGTATAGGCAGATGAAAAAGAGTGAGGCTTCCTTAGCGTGGATGATTCGAAAAATTCAGCCGTAATTTACGTCAGGACAGATGTGAGAAATTCTGGAGAATGCAAGGGATATGTCAGATGTGTAGTGTATTGATAGGAAGATGCTCGTTAAAACCAAGTAGGGAGCCAAAGTTTCATATGTGTGAGATGTTGGAAGGGGAGGGGAGGTCAATTAAGAACGAATTCATAATTTTTAGCAAGGAGTGTGATTTTCGAATAGGGGTTGTCATTAGTTGTGTAGGATTGGGCTTTGTGAGATTTTTGTGATTTTTACTACAGCAATAATGGTAATCAGTAAGAAGGTTACATAAGAAGAGAAATGTAAGTAGGAGTAAGTTGGAAAATAGGGGTTGTCATTAGTTGTGTAGGATTGGGCTTTGTGAGATTTTTGTGATTTTTACTACTGCAATAATGGTAATCAGTAAGAAGGTTACATAAGAAGAGAAATGTAAGTTGGGGTAAGTTGGAAAATATTTTTGAGATGGGGGATATTGTATTTTTCGTGATTGTTTGGAATTTTAATTATTGTAAATAGATATATTAAAGGAATTGAGCTTAGGAGAGAGATGATAATTATTATTGATCATTTGAATGGTTCATTTGGAACTGGGCTTGCAATGTAGATGAATACCACCAACATACCTCCTAATATGATGAGGAATAGGATGTTTGAGAATCAAGAGGTTTTTATGAATAATGTTGTGATTTAAGCTTATAAGAATTGTAGATGAGATTAGATTTATAATTATTATAATAGGGTGGGAGTGATAAGAAATGTAATTGAAGAATATATTGTTATTAGGATAATCCTTTTTGTAATTTTCAGAAAATAGTTTAATTTAAGATATTGAATTTGTGGATCAGTGATGGGAGGTTTCTTTTTTCTGAATGTTTTAGGGGTTTAGTTTAACCCTTCTCCGATTTACAAGACCGAGGTTTTGTTTTAACTACTGAAACTAATGGTAATTAATTTTAATGTGATGATGTTGGGGATTTTAATATACTTTTCGGGTATATTAAGAATTATATTAAAATTATATTTCGGGTATATTAAAGAAATCATAAACATTTGTTATCTATATAATTGAGACTGGAATTTATAGTTTTGGGAAGATTTTTAATGATGGTTCGTTTGGTTAGAGGGAGTTTAGGAATAGAGGGATTTTTTTTTAACAATAGTTGTATGTAAAAGAAGATTGGGTCTAAGAATTCTTGTTTTGGTAGTTCGATCTCATGGGAATGACTATTTTTCAAAAATAAAATTGATTGAATGTTAGATATTTTTATGTATTTATTTTTTATGTTCATGTACCTTTATTTTTTCTTGAGAGACTATTCAATTTGGGCTGTTTTTTGTAAGTTTCTTAAGAATATTTTTAATGTATCGTCTTTTTGATTTTGTTGCCTTTCTTTGGTGTTGGGAGGAGATTTATTGAGTTTTTCTTTATTCGGGTTATCTTGTTGAATTTGTTCTTTAATGTTAGTGGCTAGATATAGGGTGAATACAAGCAATAATGGTAAGGTGAAGTTTTCTTTTTTGGTTGCTTTAAGTTTGATATTTTTATTTTTAAGTTTTATTTGTTTAGATTAATTGTTGTTTTACGTTTCTTTCAAGTCTGTGTTAATCCCTAATTTATTAATAATCATTGGTTGGGGGGGGCAACCAGAACGTCTTCAATCTGGTATTTATATACTTTTTTATACTTTATATGCTTCTTTACCTTTTTGGTTGGTATTTTTAGGCTTTATGATTGTGAGGGGAGTGTTGTATTTTATTTTTTAAGTTGAGTGTCTTTAATATTTTTGTCTTTTGTTATGCTAATTTATTCAGCAGGGGTCTTTCATACAGAAGAATATATGGAGGGAGATGGGAATCTTAATCGGTTTTGTTATTTATGCTGTCTATGGGGTTCTTAATTTCTATTTTATTAGGGTGAGATGGTTTAGGGTTAGTTTCTCATTGTTTGGTAATTTATTATCAGAATAATCGGTCTTTAAATGAGGATACAATTACCATTTTATCTCATCGGATTAGGGATGTAGCGATTTTGATTGGGATCGTTTGGTTGCTTAATTTTGGAAATTGAAATTATTTTTCTTTTATACTTTTAATAGAATGGGTGTAGAATTTTATTGAGTTTGGGGTTATGTGGTTTTGGCGGCAATAACTAAAATAGCTCAGATTCCTTTTTCTGCTTGACTTCCAGCAGCTATAGCTGCTTCTATTCCGGTTTCTGCTTTAGTTCATTCTTTAAGTTTGGTGATCGCTGGGGTTTATTTATTAATTCGTTTGAGACTATGTTTCAGAGTGAGTGTTTTTCTTATTTTTAATATATATTTTTGCGTATCTGGTCGTTTGTTAATTTCCAGAATAAATTCTTTCCGTGAAACTTCAGCGATACAAGTCCTTTCTTAATTAAAACTAG